CGGGCGTTGTCATGGTGGAAGTAGTTTTCCGCATTCCTTCCACGAGTACGGTTGAAGTGATCTTTCAATTTCCGCAGCTGGGTCACGTATGTGGAAGCGTCAATCGTCTGTCCCTTCTCCAGCAGCTCCCAGTACTCCGTGCCTCTTCTGGACCACCAAAAGGACAGGAGAACCTTTTTGGGGTGAAGGTCGGCCTTTGAGGTGGCTTCTGGCTGTTCTCCTTTGTCGACCCACTCTTGCTCCCTCACAGAGTTATCGTAGAGGACCCACTTCTCATCTCCAGTGATCACCGAGTTGAGAACGCGAAGCTCCTTTTGTGAATCGTTAAGCAAAACCAGGCAGTGGCGCAGGTACATTCTGTCACAGTGGTAACTGTGCGACATTGTCTACTGCAAATGCAAGCTCGGTGAGTGATAGCTAGGGTAATGGAAGAGTATAATGTACAGGAGGGGAGGGGGGCAAAAAAAAGACATTTCGACCGAGTCACATATCAGCAAAGTTTTCGCTGCCCAAGAAGACGTGGATACGGGTACCAGGGCGAAAGATACCTAAGATGTTCCTCCATAAGCAGGAGCTGGCTCTCGCTCATCGCCTCCATGTACACCAAAATAGAAGTCATCTCCAGCCGCAACCTGACCGGGGAAGGCCTCCGGAATTCAAGTCACCTCCGAACAGCTGCGAAACTTCTAGTATGAGTCACCCATAAATAGCTACCTGGAGAGCAGTACTCTTGATCTGAAAGACCTCCATCATCGAGCAGCTCCGTCAACGTCACTACGGTCTAGGACATCATCTTCACCTCAGTCGCCAAGGCGCCAGTTGATGGTGGGGACCGGACGTACCTGGAATGAGGAGACCGATATTTTCTCCGTGGGCCCCGGACTAAAGGTGAGCGCTGGCGGTTACATCGAGCAATTCGAGAAGAATATCCTCTCCACATGTCGTCGCCAGTACCTTCTTGGAACTTCGTACTGCTACAGGATTGGGTGACACCACATGGAATCAAAGGGCGCTGGGGGAACTCCTGCCTACTTGGAATGGAAGGGCGTTGAGTACCTGAATTCATGGACCATTGGATTCACGGGTTTCTCTCGTTTGATTTTCTCTCGTGCTAATAGTTAACTACCTAATTTTTTATTTTCCCATCAATGTGGTGTTCTGCGTTGCTATAGTCACTGATTCTTTCTTCTGTTTTGATGTGCACTGGTATGCTGATCGTTTGTTGTGGTTTCGTTTTCTCACGTGGGCTCATGCCTGCGTCAATAAATACACTGCTCCACATAATGATAGTTCCACCCAAGAACCTCACGAAATCCCGTCTTACGCGACGTTTTCAAAGATGCTGTAAAATAAAAAATATGGCGATTACCAATGCCCGTTCGTACGCCAACACCAAATACCAAATGGAAGGAACATTTTTTTCTCTTCATTTTTTTTGAAAAATGGTCACTTTGACAACGACGCAAAATCATAGTTCCACTAAACAAATTGAATGATCCGACAACAAGTTGACAACAAAATGAATAAATTGTTAAATCAGTAATCTATAGCAGCCCCATTTCTTCGAATAAGTTGGAATTTTCGGTTGGCCATGCTCGAATAGAGGTTGCCAATAAGTCGTCTGTCCACTTGGTGCCATGCATCAACTATTGCCTCCTTGAGCTCACGGATTATTTGGAATCCGGTTGCATTGTTCGCATAGATTTTGCGCACCAAAACCCAAACATTCTCGACTGAATTCAGGTCGGGGCTGTTCGCTGGCCAGGGCAAAAGAGGGATTTGGTGGCGCCTGAACCACTCTCGAGTCCTTCGGCTGACATGAACCGGTGCATTGTCTTGCATGAAAAGGGTTTTCTTGCCGATTCTATGGCCAGAATGGAAGCAATCCTCGTCGCATGACGTTAATATAATCAGATAAGAGTTCATTTTCTTAGATACGAAGCATAGCTCCACACGTCCGTTGATGCGATGGCAGCCCAAACCATGACGGCCACATCCTCTAAAGTTCCGCGTGGAAAAATTAAGCTGGTCCTTCCTCAGGTCGTGCAGTGGATCGGTTTCCATCTGGCCGTCGCAGTTGAATTTTTCTCATCAGAGAACACGACCTAGAAAAAAAACCTGAAAACAAGACAGACAAGAGAAGAGCAGCGCAGTTGGAAGCTAACCTTACTCCAATCGGCTCGGCAACATCCTCTAGCAAGTCAATTCGGTTCTCACGATGCCTTTTTGTCAGAAACGGCGCCTTCCTCATTTCCTTCAGAGAATGTACCCCGACTTCGTTAGACCACGGCGAACAGTTTCTCCAAGACATTAAGCTTCAGAGATGACCTGATTTCCTGGCACGACATTGTGGTGTTGGATGCTTCTCTGAGGGTACGGCGCTTATCCCGATCTGAGAGCAAGAGAGGACGACCAGGGCTCTTCTTGATTCCATATCCTTCTGGTTCCCTGACAAAATTGTTGATTACATGATGACTTCGTCCCAAATCCCGTGCGATTTGACGGTTCGACAGTCCTTGTGCCTTCTTTGCCATAATCTGCCCTTTCTCGAAGTCCGACAGTGAATGTCCTCTCGCCATGATCTAGAAAATTACCCGAAAAAAATGAGACGCAGTGGAAAAACATGAGGTGGAACTATCATTTTGTGGAATTGTCAGAGTGTCTAATTTTCAGAAAATGAACAAAAAAAAACTTTGTTCTTTCAAGTCAGTTCCCGGTGTTGGCATGCAAAGTGGTATTGATTATTACCTAATTTTCTACTTGAGGACATTTTTGAAAACCTCATGTAAGACGGGATTTTGTAATATTTATGGGTGGAACTATCATTATGTGGAGCAGTGTAGAATAGAATAGAATAGTAGAGAAAAATTGAGTATTTCTGAATGAGTTCAAGGGTGACGTCATCCATGTTTTCAAGTTGAGTGGATGGTGTTCCTTACAGCTACGCTAGAATCCAGCGATACTGCTTCGAAGTCCCACCAATAACACACTGAAATCTTTATCCCATGCACATCTGCTCTTGGCTGAGCAATTTACTTTCCTGTTCGAGAGATCCTCCGAGGGACATGTGCATGGTGTACGCAAGAACTCCACCACTCGCTACCAACCACAGGATCTCACAAATGTTCTTCCGGTGTGTAAAAGCAAACCAGTGTGTACAAGCAAACGAAAACTCAGTCACGGTCATTCGGTACACCTTGTCAGGCGAGTCCACCTCATGAGGCATCCTTCACAAAAAATTTTCCCGATAACCGAAATTGGGGAAAAGCATGGCATCACCTAGATGGAGCCCGGAGAGGTTGCCAACTTACTGGCGGTTACGTTCGACTGCGCCTCAAGAAGCTTGAGTGAACGGCTGTCATTCTGTGCTGATGGCCGGCCTATACATTGCCTAGCTCCGAATCAAATAGGTCCAGATTGGAAGCGCTGATGCAAACGCTACCTTCTGCCATGGGAAGCGACATCCTTCCTTAAGACAAGTTAGGTGTTAGCCTTCTCTACTACGGCTGAGTGGCCCTGCAGGAACTCATGATATGGGATAGGTCAAAATGTGCCTCGACCTCTGAGGGACTTTTAAGCTTTTTGAAGCTTCCACAAGATCATGATATACCCATTTGAGGAAACTCCAAAGGACAGACTTCATTGATCAGGGATGAAAACTATCGAAATGTTTTTTGGTCTTTTTCTAGAACAATTTCAGTGTCGCAGGACTTTCCGTCCAACCTAATAAAGTGATCTCAATGAAGAAAAGTGACTTTTTTGGCCCCCCTAATATACAGGGGGGCCAAAAAGTCACTTTTCTTCATTGATTTTCGAGGCGCTATAAATTATACTTCAGTAAATTCTCATCGGACATTTTCACCACCATATTGAAGAACATAACAAATACTATCATGACACTCCGCCACAGATATCTGGACGAGCGCAATCGAGAGATTCCGGCGCGCGACCGCGATGTGGTGCCTGAGATCAGCGAGATAGTCGACTTCTCCACTACCGTGGACCGCCCTATTGAACTCCGCCCGAACCGGATAATTGAGGGGATTCAGGTCAGGTTAGGTAATTGGATATTCCATCTTCTTCAGGTACTCAGCCCCCTTCCATTCCAAGTAAGCGAGAGTTTCTACAATGCCCTTCGATTCCATGTGGTGGCAGCCAATGCTGTAGCAGTACAAAGTTTGCAAGAAGATACGGGCGACGACATGTGAAGAGGATATTCTTCACGAGTTGCTCAAGTAACCGCCAGCGCTCACCTTTAGTCCGGGGACCACGAAGAAAATATTGGTCTCTGCATTCCAGGTACGTCCGGTCCATACCACCACCCCGCGCCTTGGCGACTGTGGTGAAGATGATGTCCTAGACCGTGGCGACGTTGTTGGAGCTGCTCCGATGTTGAAGGTCATCAAGATCGAGAGTACTGGCCTCCAGGTAGCTATCCATGGGTGACTCCATACAAGAAGTTTCGCACCTGTTTGGAGGTGACATGAATTCCAAAGGTCTTCTCCAGTCAGGCTGCGACTGGAGATGACTTCATATTTTGGTGTACATGAAGGTGATGAACGAGAGCCAGCTTCTGCTTATCGAGGAAGATCTTGGGTATCTTCCTCCCTGGTGCATCCATGTCCTCTGTCTGGGCAGCAAAAACTTTGCTGATATGTGACTCGGTCGAAGTAACTTTTTTTGGTCCCCCCCCCTGTACAGTAGGGAGACATGCTTTATCTCACAACGATGGATTGCACGACTGGGATGCGACGCCACCGAAATGAGCAAAAGAGGGAGGAACAGGAGGGTGGGTTTCGAGGAGAGTGTATGGATCAGTAGAGTCGGAACGCCCTAGAACGGGTCAAAAAGGAGCAGTGTCTCTGATGGCTAACGAGTAAGCATTCGCTAGCGACCATGCAGTTGAAAAACAGAAGCTACTACAGCACAGTCAATAGAGTCGGGACTCCCTAGAAGCATGGAAGGAATTGCCAAAATACACTGAAAATAAAGGCGGAACTTCACAAAATGAAAACGACCACCTGAAAAACAAACCATGGAAAAACCTTTTCATTACCAAGATTTCTCAGAGCAGGGTTATAAGAGTGAAGCTATTCGATTATAAAGAGTAACGCACCGACGTGCCAAAGAATCCTAACAATCGCTCGTGCATGGCGTCGAACGATGCTAACAGAACTTCATGGTAAGTCTGTTGATCTACTGCCACTACACTTTCATTGACCTGGAGTGCTCGTTCACATGCTGACATCAGTTTCCTAAAAATAATCAAAAACTGTATTCGAGCTCATTATTCACAGATTAATTGGATCCATTCCACTTTTTTAGTCAGGGAACAATCTTGGGTAGAAATGATGAGACGGACAGCGCAGAAAAATGTGTGGACGGGTAAAATGTGGTTCTAAGGAACCATAATTGATTTTTACAATATGAGAAATCCCTATTCGATTGCTTTAATGTAAAATCAAGAAAATCGTAGATGTCTAACATTTTTTGTTATAGGGTTTTTTCCATACTGCAGGAGAACTGGGCGGGGATTTTTGGAGAAACAGAAGAAATAATGATGGCCGGCTGGGACGACACGCCTCCTTCGTGATGCGGCATGCCTTGAAGGGGCGGGAACGGGTTCGCCGCGTTTACCTTTTTCTACGTGGTCGAATACCCGACAAGTATCCGGCTTTCCTTTATTCAGAACAGATGATTAACGCTCTTTGACCAATAACATCATGCCTGCTATTTTCAACACTGGTGTTGTGTATGGAATGATGATAAGGAGCATTGATCAAGTACCAGAAAACGGTGTTAATCGCGCATTCAAACATACGAAAGCAGGTAGGTTAGACTGAGTCACGCCAGCTCGGTAAAGCCAGGTCGCATCACAGAGGGGGCGCGCTGGCGGCAGCCGGCGAGCCGTATGCTACCAAAAGTAATTACGACGACCGGTGGTGCCGATGTACTGAAGCTCAGAAAGAGTAGGTACCTTGTGCATGAGGGCATGCTCCGCGCCTTGTGGGCGGGCCTCACTACACAAACACTCAGCCATCGACATATGTTTCCATCACCAAAGGTTTTTTCGGATCTCCTAAGCCACTCAGGTTCGAATTAGGAAACGTCGTAGAGAGCAGCGCCTCGAAGTCTGGTGCACCCATTTTCACGCCTTCCCCGTTTCCTCCACTAACCCCCTGTGAGCTTCGGTCCACTTGTCCCCGCTGCATCTGGTCCTCTGCAACCAGTTCGTGAATGCTGATGACTTTTGCCCCGCCCACCTCCACACATGCTTTGATCACAATGGGTGTAACTATCTCACTTCAGTAGTCAGCTATGTATACCCTTGCTCACCTTTGCCGGTGTCCGAAGTGCTCAGGAAATGTGTCACAGATTGTTTCATGCTGCCCCACCCATCTCACTGCACGCTCCGTCCACAACCGCTGTGCCTTGCCTTCGCAGCCGATGACCCCTCCGACGGCGCGCGTTTCGACAACAGTCGAGCATGTATTGCAAGATATTACACAGAAATGACACGTACACATTATTGGTGGGTGACAGGAAGTGATGAAAACTGATAATAAGTGATGAGGGCCGTAAACTCACAGATCGAAAGTGTGCTTTACTGTACGTCGCATTACTTACAAGGGAGATCGTTCAGGGCGTGGCCCCCTTTTTGGAAATGTTTCTTTGCATTTTGTACGGCCTTGCCCATGAACCATAGAAGTGGGCTTCATTTTCCTGAACGGCCCCTGGAATAAAAAAGGAGCGAAAAAGAAATTCATGGAAACTGATTGTTTTTGAGCCTCTATGGGCTGTAAACCGCTTGAAGCTTTGACCACTTGCTGAGTGGACGGTTCCTATAAAGGTACTATTGGAATCGAAGAGAAAAATACTCGGGGTATGGGGTCTTACTTGTGGCACGTGATCAGGAATAAACGGCTCCTCGGAGTGGTTTCTTCAACGATCGGAGCAGCGGTCAGCAACAACGACCGGATGGCCTAGTGGGTAGCGTGGAGGATTCTCAAGCGAAAGATGGGGTGGGGTTCATGGTTCGACTCCCTTCGGCGTGCGAGTTTTTGCATTTTTCATGTTTCGCTGTCTTCGCGTTCAAATATGTCTGTGCGTGAGTATAAGTCTGACAACTGCCATTTATGGGCACGTTTCAAATGAGGATATTCTATTAATTGGTGCTAATCAAATTATTTCAGGTTTTACATACCATTAAGCAAGACCGTAGCTGAAAGCTGGTCTTTATAGGTCATACATTGCTCGGTTCACCAGTATGGAACTCACTTGTAGCTGTGGTGCCTTTTATCGCTAATATGGAGCCAAATGTTTCTTCCAATGAATGCGTTTGGTATACACATATAAGGGACGTGTAGCGCTACCCAGGCGCCAAATAACGTCGGCGCCGAAAATAAGTGTCAAAATCGGGGCCGTCGATTACCCCTGTAGACTATCTTTCGGCCAAAAAATTTTTTCGACTTTTTTGAGTTTTTGCGTTGGGTTGTGTCCAACAGTCTTTCTGAAGTCTACAGTGCTTCGCCACAGGGACCTCCTATTTTATTGAGATCCAAACATAAAACTAACAATATCGATAAAATTCATGCAAAAGGAAGGAAAGAGTTGTACTCGTCCAGGTCGACTTCGAAAAAAGTTGAGGAATTTAAATGAGAGCAATTTCTGTTCCCGTACTGGAGAATGACTTCTTTATTGAGCGAACGGGCGGTAGGGATCGGCAAAGGCCCAGGCGCTTTTCCTCCAATGCCGCGACCAACCACACTTGTGCCGAGAATGACAGGACCTTGGGGGCACCCTTTCGACAGAGCTGTTCTGCCCCGCGTTCTGCTTAGGTGATCGTCACGTCATCATCTTCACGAAGATGTGAGACTCCGGCCACCACCGCCGATCAAATGGTCCACCCCATACGAAAAAACGGATAAAAATTTTTTTGGCTGGAAGTTCGTCCATAGGGGTAATCGATAGTCCTGATTACCATTCTGACACTTATTTTCGACGTCGACGCAATTTTGCGCCATGCAGCGCTTGACGTCTCTCATATGGGGGCACATAGACGTACTTTTCTCCTTTTTTTGGCGTTCCTCTCCTGGGGCCGCTCAGAGAAAATGAAGCGAAAATGAACCCGCACTTCTGTGGTCTATGTTCAAGCCTCTATGAAGCAAAAACCATTTTGAACGCCCTGAACGAGCTTCCTCGGTTGTTTACACTGCGACCGCTAAAGCTCATTTACAAGCAGTCAGAGAATCAGCAAGAAAGCAGCAGAGTCAATTCTTCTTCAATATCGCTTTATGCAACACTTACTCGACCCTACACCATTTAGCGTTCCAATAAATGATGAATGCATCATTTATCGGTTATATTGCAGTCGTGTTCCTTGAGTGAGTTCCATTTCAAACACTGCACGCAAAGGCGAGATGAGGTGGAGAGGGAAGTGTTACAGAATTTGTCGCGCCATTGGATGTGTTGGCGCAACTTTCTCAGTAGAAGTTGCACTGATTTTTTTTGAAATGAAATGTTCTAAAACAATCACAGCATTTTCATGTACAGAACTCATTTCCGGCCTTATATATATACCAGCCGGCTTCGCCGGCTGACGCCGGCGCGCCTCCTTTTGAGACACAAAACAGCTCCGGCTAGTCTATTTATTTTTTTCGAAACGGTTATTCTCAACAATATTAAGGTGTATGGAATGGTAAGAAGGAGCGTTGATCAAGTGAACAGATGCGAGAAAAGCCGGGTGTTAGTTGAGCATTAGATCATAAGAATGCTGACAGGCGCGATGGATCACGCCCCGCAAAGCCGGGCCGTATCACAGTGGAGGCTGTAGTGCTGTGGAACCGCTTAAAGGGACCTTAGGGCTGACCACGCCCACCCTGAACCTTTTCCGGATTTTTTTAAATTGGCCCTGCCAATCTCACCGCGCGCTCCTCCCACAGCAGATGTGCCTTACGCTTGTGAACCGATGACCCCTTGCTGGTCTCAAACTACTATTTCGGTGCCTGCAGTGTTCTAAAATAGTTCAGGAATTTTTTTTCAGTTTGGCTCCGCCCACCTCGCCGAACGTTCCACTTACAACGTATGCCTCGCGCTTCTCAACCGAAGACCCTCTTGAACTATTTTTTCCGGTATCTAGAGTGCTCTGGAAGCGTTTTACGGATTTTTCAGACTGGCTCCGCTCACCCCGTGCACGCTCCGCCCAAAGGGATGTACCTCACACTTGCGACCCGATGACCCCTCGCTGATCTTAAACTATTTTTTCGCGGTGTCTGGAGTGCTTTGGAAGCGTTTTACGGATTTTTCAGACTGGCTCCGCCCACCTCGGCGCACGATCCGCCCGCAATGCGAACGTCTCGCGCTTCTCGACCGAAGACCCTCCTGAACTATTGTTTCCCGGTTCTGGAGTGCTCTGGAAGCGTTTTACGGATTTTTTAGGTTGGCTCCGCCCACCTCGGCGCACGCCCCGCCCACAATGCGAGCGCCTCGCGCTTCTCAACCGAAGACCCCTCGCTGATCTTCAACTATTTTTTCGCGGTGTCTGGTGTGCTCTGGAAGCGCTATGCTAATTTTTTGGATCAGCTCCGCCCAACACGGCGCACGCTCCGCCCACAATGCTATTCCCTCGCAAATTCCTGCACGTGATCAGTAGGGGGCCGTAATCCACTTTTTGCCATCTGTAGTGCTTTAGGAGCAAACTACGACTTTTTGTAATGTTCCTCGTGTTCAAATGCACGCTCCGGCCACAGTAGGCGGGCCTCACCACCCCCTAAACATGGCGGACTCTTGCCAGACCTTAGTCTTCGTCATGGACTTTTCTGCGATCCCTAAACATTTTCAAGGACCGAGTTACCGACCTTTTTGGGAAGCGCCGCCCATCTCAAGTACGTCCCGCCCATTTCGGGCGTCTCCCCCTCCATTTGGCGTGCCAATCCAGTGCTAAGCTAATTCAACTTTTTCCAGTCTCCGAAGTGCTTTGTAGCCAAGTTATGGGGATTTTTCAGTGACACGGGAAGCGCCGCCCATCTCAAGTACGCCCCGCCCATTTCAGGCGTCTCCCCCTCCATTTGGCGTGCCAATCCAGTGCTAACCTAATTCAACTTTTTCCAGTCTCCGAAGTGCTTTGTAGCCAAGTTATGGGGATTTTTCAGTGACACGGGAAGCGCCGCCGCCCATCTCAAGTACGCCCCGCCCATTTCAAGTGTATCTCCTCTGTTTGGTCGATCAGGCCCCTGTTAACTTTACTACACTGTTTCCTCATCTCAGGACTGCTCTGGAAACCGATTTATGACTTTTTTTAGTGACATCGTTAAAATTTGGACGCACACTGTGCGGGGTCATGGTTGCTATTCAGGTTTTGTCCCATGCTCTTTCCATCCCCCCTTGACCGACCCCGCCAAGCCGCTCTTGTTTCAGGCGCTATGAATTTCGTGACAGACAGACGCACACACACAACACACACACACACACACACTCAAGTACATAGCCGATTATATCAGCAGATATATATACATGTACATACACACATCTATATACATAATATAACAATATACATATCTACAGGGGTGGCCAAAAAAAAGTCACTTTGACCAAGTCACATATCAGCAAAGTTTTTGCAGGCGCCAGTACAGAGGACGTGGATACGAGTACCAGGGCGGAGGATACCCAAGTGTTCCTCTATAAACAGGAGCTGGCTCACGCCCACCACCTTCATGTACACCAAAACATGAAGTCATCTCCAGTCGCAGCCTGACTGGAGAGGACCTTCGGAACTCATGTCACCTGCAAACTGCTGCGAAACTTCTAGTATGGAGTCACCCATGAATAGCTACCTGGAGACCAGTACTCTCAATCTGGATGACCACCAACATCGAGCAGCTTCGTCAACTTTGCTACGGTCTAGGACATCATCTTTACCGTAGTCGCCGAGGCGCGAGTTGATGGTATGGAGCGGGGTACCCTGGAATGGGAAGACCGATATTTTCTTTGTAGACCCCGACTGAAGGTGAGCGCTGGCGGTCACATCAAGTAACTCGAGAAGAATATCCTCTCTACATGTGGTCGCCCGTACCTTTTTGGAGACCTTGTGCTGCTACAGGTTTGGGTGCCACCACATGGAATCGAAGGGTTTGGAAAAACTCGCGCCTACTTCGAATGGAGGGGCGTTTCGTACATGAAGAAGATGTAATATTGAAGTATTCCCCTGACCTAAACCCACTCAATTACCTAGTTCGGGCGAAGTTCAACAGGGTGGCTACGGTGGCGGAGAAATCGACTACCCCGCTGATCTCAGGTACCACATCGCGGTCGCGTGCCAGAATCTCTCGATGGCGTTCGTCCAGAAGGCTGTGGCGGAGTATCGTGATAGTACTTAATATGCTCTTCAATATGGTAGTGAAAATGTCCGATCAGAATTTGTTAAAGTGTAACTTATAGCGCCTCGAAACTCAATGAAGAACAAGAAAAGTGACTTTTTTTGGCACCCCCTATTATATATATATATATATATATATATGATATATATATATATATATATATCATAATATATATATATATATATATATATATATAGTATATATATATATATATATATATAATATATATATATATATACTATATATATATATATATCCATCCCTGCCCGTTACCTCAAAGTGTGGGATGCGCTGCTAAACTCACTTCAATGTTGCCTCCCGTTGTGTTGCCGGAAACAGCGACGCGTTGAGCTGAGGCCCAAAAACTGGCCCCTCTGCGGACAGGTACCACACCCGGCAGTGGTGCTACCGCCCAGTTATGGCTAGCCGGTGAGGGTAAGTCCAGGCCATCAACATCTACGACCGTGAAGTTCAATGAAGAAGTAGCCCTCAGTCCATGCGGCCACCGCCCTTCCTGGGCAAGAGGGCAAAGCAGAGGGGGTCAGAAATCTTCACGAGAAGCCGCATCTGCCAAACAGTTCCTAAACCATTGGAACAATAAACGCTCGAGCGTCTCGTTAACGACTATCGTGATCGATTCAGCCTAGATGATCTGAAATGGACAGGTGTGCGATCTGACGAGCATGCTGTCCAAGAAAACCGTTAAAGATAGCAATGCAGGAAGAGTGGAGTTGGCACACAACTGGAACATGAAGTGAATCTTAGAGCTGGCTCAAGAAACGGAAAAGGTCGGAGGCCAGTCGGATTCATTGTATCGCCCACGTCTCACTGCATAGGATTGCTATTGGCCGATTGTACTGTCTGAATAGAATTGCGATTCTAATTGCCGCTCGAACTAGGCAAAAAGAAGACGCATGAAAATACTGTCGCGGTCTATGCCCCCCACCGGAGCATATAGACGAATGCAAGCCGTGAAGCAGTTCTACGACGCCGCTAATTGCACTACTCCAAAAGGAACATATGGATATGCGCTGGAGACTTCAATGCCCCACTTAGGATGCGGAGAACCTGGCATGAATCTCATAATTTAGCGGCCATACCGGAATACCTGGGAAGAAACAGCAGAGGAAGAGGCGTCAGCCACAACTTCACCGAAACGGAGTCGATTACAGCTGGCAAACTCATATTTCCGAAAAACGCGTGCAGGACGTCGGCCGTGGACATACCATTTACCCCGCAACAGCGCAGATGTTCACGGAAATCGACTTTCTTTTTAACCAACTGCTTGCGCCTCTTTCACAAAATGTTTACAGTGATCGGCGAGAATCGCCCATTTAATACGTGGATCGGACCACCGTTTTAAGCTTCGAGCCACAGTAGCAATAAAGCTCAGAGGAAGAAAGGAGCACGATTAGCCCCTGCATACTTATTCGCAGCGGCTGCCTCAATATGTGCCCTCTCTGAAGAAACGACTAAAAGCGCTCGCCTTCCACGACAAACTTTCCTTCAGAAACAGGGAAATGTCCACAAGCCAGCATTACGAAAAAGTTGAGTTTCTACTATTCGATGCTATGTTAAGAAATGCTTCAGAGCGCGTTCGAAGCAGACCTCCGCGGCAACGATTAAGTTTACTACCACTGCAAATGTGGCCACTCGCCGAAGGAATTGCGGAAAAAACTATGACTACCTGCATGGCTAGCAACTATATTAAACAAGGCTATACGCCTATAGAGTGAGGAAAGAATATCGTGAATACGCGCAACGTAAAGCAGAGAAGCAGACAAGCTGAAAAATGCCGAGCCCATCAAAAGAACATTCATCAACACTCGGACGTCAAAACCACTACCCTGAATCTCTCACAAAAGAAGATGGCCTGTTGCGCAGGAATAAAAAAAGGGAATGCGAAGGAGAAATTCGAAAACCTTTTTTCCCAAGGACCTCTTCTCCAAAGTGCCGGGCTGCGCAACCTAACATGATATTTTGCTGAGATGATGATGACACACTTGCAAGAGATGAGTGGCCAAAGTACTTGAAACAGAAGTATTGGAGGCTATTCAACAGATGAAAGGAGAGAGCGCCTGGACCAGATCGAATTCTGGCAGAAACGACCTGAAATGCTGAAGGAGTCATTGCCCGCCATCTTGACAAGCACATTTGCACGGGAAATGCTAGGCGTCGGAACGTGTTACAAAGGAATGGCCTGGCGCCTCGAATACATTTTGATCCACAAAAAAGACCGCGTGATATACTTCGCGCCAAACTATCGTCCTATAGCGTCCTGTCCACAATACTCAAAATCTTCTCACGTATCATCCTCAAACCGCATAAGGTCGCGAAACACCATCTATATAAATACGCAGAGAGAACAAGCCGGATTTTCGTGAAGGTTGTTCAACCATCGATCAGATGACATGTGATTTCTCAACTTGCGGAAAGATGTCGAAGATGCCTTACGTAATCCCGCTATGTTATCTTTTTGTTGACTTCAAAAAGGCCATTTGATACGGGTCCGAAAACACCAAGCGGTACTAAACGCCACTTTGCCACGTTCGGAAATTTCAAGAAGATATATTGAAAATAATACGACAATGTAACACCGAGCCTGCTACACTGACATAAAATTGCCTCAAAGAAACCAAGTTCTGTGTGAAGATCCAACGTGGCGTACGGGGACAAGGCGGCGTCATCTCTCCAAAACTAGTTCTCTGCCCAGCTTTTAGAACTTGTAATGCGGCAAATCGAGCTGCTGGTGCGCATTGAATAGATGGCGAAACAAGACTTCAATACTTTGAATGTTTGCAGACGACATAGTCTTGATTGGGAACGCGCAACAGAGTGCCCACTCGAAAGCTCCCTGAATATTTTGCAGCCGAAGCCTCCATCCAATGGACTTGTAATACATCCAGGAAAAACCAAATGCGATGAAAAAACAACTTACACAAATGACTAATCGCCTTTATGCATTGGAAGGATCAGTCATTGAAGAAGTCTCATCGTTCACGTATCTTGGCCAACAAATAACGATGGATAATGCATCTTACAGGAGAAATCAGCCGTCGGCCGTCGAAAGACGGGATGGGCCACATTTAACAAAATATCTCGAGATGTTCTGCACGATAGGAACGGCATGAAACCTCAAATAAGATCTCAGGTGTTCAACACCCATGTTTCTTTGTGTTTTTATACCAGCACTGGTATATGGAAGTGCAGACATCGGAGCCCACAATCAAAGATGCAGGAGAGAAGACTAGCTGCCTACGCAAAAGCGGCAATGGAGCGAGCAATGGTTCGAGCGAACACTAATGCACAAGATCCCTGCTCGCGAAAATTCGAAGACGGATGGGCGCGTAAAGCGATGGTTATCGAAACCATTTATGACTCGAAAAGAGATGGGCTGGACACGATAGCTCGTCTTGACGATAACGATGGAGCTATATCGCGTAACCAGCTGAGTATCTCGTGTGTAAAAAGGCCACGCAGGGAAGACCCCAGCCAGGTTGGACAGCTGGATCCTTAAAGAAACTATATGGACAGAGATGCGCCAAGCAAAACTGGCCCCAAGAAATCGTGTATGAAGGCATTAAGATGTGTCCTGCCAAGGATGCGCAAACCAACCTTGAAGAGCGCGACATCAAGGTATTCAAGCGGTAAGGGTATATAATATATATATATATAATTATATATATATATAATATATATATATATATATATATATATATTATATATATATATATATAATATATTATATATATATATATATATTATATATATAATATATGATATATATATCATAAGGTTGTCCAGGAAGGCCTCTCAGTGTCTGCAGTGTTTCACTTTAAACGAACATAACTTTCTTTCAATATCTCATCGGATATGATCAAAATAAGCCACTGTTCTAATCAGCACACATTTTGCAATGTGAGTCGGTTCGATAAGTGCCCATCAATTGAAATAACTGGCACTGTCGAGATCACGAATTTTGCCGGTACTGATTGATGAAGTATTTCCAGCAAGCGCGAATTCTTGAAAATGTTTGAAAAGGCTGATAGTCGGTTTGATGGCAAGGTCTGGAGAAATATCGGCGGACATGGAGCTAGCAACGCTTCAACCCACATTCGTTCAATTTATGGGATTAGTTTGATTGTCGAAACGTGTGGCTGCCGCATTATCATGCAAAAGAATCGGAACCCTCTCTGTTGACATGTGCGCTGCCAGCTGACGCCAATTTCCGGCTGGCATTTCGTCGACCTTCTCCACAGTAGGCACTCTGCTGTGATGGTTTGGCCCTGTAACAAAAAAGTTATAGTGAATCACACCAGCCGATGATACCACCACACTGTGACCATAATCTTTTTTTTTTCGTGACGATTTTGGCTTTTGAAATTGCCTACGGTGCCGCTTCGTCGCGCATCCAAATGACGATTCCGGTCCAAAAACGGCGCCATTTTTCTGCTTGCCGCAGAAAAAGCAGTTAAGAAGAAACTCGAAAACGTGCCAGTTTCTGCCGATCACTCATTGCTGCGACACCACCTGCCGAGCTTTATTCACTTTTCCAATGCATTGCATACCCTCCGCAACAGTGGAGTTTGCCAACGCCTAGCTTTTCTTGCAACCTCTTGACTGTTGGCGGTGGGTCAGCCTCCACAAACGCCTTCAAATGCTCGTCAGGTACGCTTTAGGTCGACCGCCTACGAGCGATTCATCTTCAACGGCTTGGAACTCTCCAGAACGAAATTTGTCGAACCATTGTCGCACGGTGCTTCCGAAAACACCTACGCCGGCCCGCCACACGATGTTAATTTGTCGAGTTTATCTCGACTGGGATTGACCCAATTTGAAGCTGAAGGAAAATATCATCTGAAGTTGCTCTTTTGACATGCCTGAAAAAAATCTGGGAAAAAACAATTTGCGTGGATGAAACGGCAGTTATACATCAGCTAGCGCTAAGCGAATTCTTCTCAGGATGTCGGTACTGACGCAAGGCGAGGAATGAGTTTTTAATAGAAATGCAATGTACAAAAGAAATAGCTAACACAAAACGCTGAGAACTTTCCTGGCAAACTAATTATAAGGGGGCAGGGCAAAAAAAAGTCACTTTTCTCCACTGCATTTTCGAGGCGCCTATAAATTACACTTCATAAATTCCCATCGGACATTTTCACCACCAATAATTAAAAACATATCAAATACTATCATCGACACTCCGCCACAGCTATCTTGGACGCACGCGCAATTCGAAAGAGATTCCGGCCGACCGCGATGTGGTGCCTGAGACCAGCGAGATAGTCGACTTCTCCAACCACCGTTAGACCACCCTATTCAACTCGCCCCGAACCGCGCGTGATTGAAGGATTCAGGTCAGGTGACCTACTTAGAATATTTCATGCTTCTTTAGGTACCCAGCCCTTCCATTCCAAGTAGCGAGAGTTTCCCCACACCCATTCGATTCCATGTGTGGCACCCAATGCTGCTAGCAGTACAAAACTTCCAGAAAGCCCGTTTTAACCCCCGTACGACCACATGTGAGATCTCCGGCTCTGTGTGG